TAATTCCTCTTTTCCCTTTTAATTAACTCATTCTTTCTTGGTCTATACTTTTATAAGAGGTTAGCGTGTCTACATTCTTGTTCTTGGTTCTGGCACAAGAGTTTGACTGGCAGGTGCTTTTGTCCAGACTGCAGGCAATGCATTTCTTCTCTGAACACAGAGTCTGCCTAGGTTGTGTCACCTCTTTAAAACTAGCTGGGCACCGGCACTTTCTGGAAAGTTTTGTGTCTCCTCAGGAGTATGGCCACTCTGATCTGAAGCTGTTTCTTTAGTTCCTTCTCCCTGCCTCAACCACTCTGACTTTAAGGCTCTGGATTATAAATCAAGCTTATTTCAGCTTTGGGGCCTTTGCAAGAGGTGTTCCCTATGCCTGGACCACTCTGCTTAAAGATGGATGCAGAAACCATCACTCGGATTTTTAGTTCAAATCTCTCCTCACAGATGAGTGGTGGGTGAGCAAGCAAAGCTTCATCTGTATTTACAGCCGCTCCCCATCCTCACATTACTGCCTGAACTCCACCTCCTGCCAGATCAGCGGTGGCATTAGATTCTCATAGGAGTGCAACCCTATTGTGAAGTTCACATGTGAGGGATCTAGGCTGCATGTTCTTTATGAGAATTTAATGCCTGATGATCTGTGACTGTCTCCAATCACCCCTAGATGGGACTGTCTAGATGCAGAAAAACAAGCTCAGAGCTTCCACTGATTCTACATTATGGTGCGTTGTATAATTATTTCATTATCTATTACAAGGTAATGATAATATAAATAAAATGCACAATAAATGTAATTCACTTGAATCAACCTGAAACCATCCCCTTGGCCCCCACTGGTCTGTAGAAAAACTGTCTTTCATAAAACCAGTCCCTGGTGCCAAAATGTTTGGGGACTGGTGTACTGCTGTATCTCCTGGGCTGAGAACAGTGCCTAACACATTCTATTAATTATCTATTGCTGTGTGCCGAATTACCCAAAAGTTAGAGCTTAAGACAACATTTATTATATCACAGTTTTCATAGGTTCCAGCTTAGGGTCTCTCATGACATTGCAGCCAATATGTCATCTGATGGCTTGATTGGGGCTGGAAGATCCACTTCCAGGATGACTCACTCACAAGGCTTTAGCAGGAAGCCTCAGAAATCATGTGGCTATTGGCAAGAGGGCTCAGTTGCTCAGCAGCCTTTCTAAACTGCTACTTGGGTACCCTCAGGACAGGGTAGGGGTTTCCCTCATAGCAAATAACTTAAGAGAGAGCAAGACAGAAACTGCAATGTCTTCTACAGCCCAGCCTAGAAAGTCACATTCTGCCATTTCCAGAATATCCTGTTTGATATGGTTTGACTGTGTCCCCACCCAAATTTCATCTTGAATTGTAGCTCCCATAATTCCCACGTGTTGTGGGAGGGATCCGGTGAGAGAAAACTGAATCACAAGGGCAGTTTCCTCCACACTGTTCTTATGGTAGTGAATAAGTCTCACAAGATGTGATTGCTTTATAAGGGGAAACTCCCTTCGCCTAAATCTCATTCTCTCTCGTCTGCTGCCACATAAGACATGCCTTTTGCCTTCCACCATGATTGCAAGGCTTTCCCAGCCATGTGGAATTATGAGTCCACTAAACCTCTTTTTCTTTATAAATTGCCCAGTCTCAGGTATGTCTTTATCAGCAGTGTGAGAACAGACTAATATACTGTTACATGAGGTAGCCCTATGTATTGTGGAAACAAACTACACATGGGCATAAATACCATCTTCAAGGCAGGCTGCCACACACACTTATAATGGTTGTTCAATAAGTGTATTTTGAGCTAATGAACTGTGTCATTGAGCTAATGAATTTTATAATTCAACTTGTAGTGAGCCATCTTATTTCCAAATGTTTGAGAAAGCATCTCTTACTTTCCCAACTCTACCTTCAGCTGTGATACAAAGTATATCCTATTTCATTTTTCAAATAGGATGTGAGAAACAGCAACCCAGGAATGATATTGTCTTGTGTTGCTATAACAGCATAGCACTGACTGGGTAATTTATAATGAATAGAAATTTGCTGCTTAGTCCTGGAGGCTGGGAAGTCCAAGCTCAAGGGGTTGGCATCTTGCAAAAGCCTTTTTGCTGTGTCATCCTATGGTGGAAGGGCAAAGAGAAAGCAACAGAGAAAGAGATGGAGAGAAACACGGGGCTGGACCAAACAAGTCCCTTTATAAGGAATCTACTCCCAGAATAACGAATTCACTCAAAAGATAATGGCATTGATCTGTTCATGAAGAGTGTCCTTCCATGACCCAAATACCTTTCATTTGGCCCCACCTCCCCAAACCACCACACTGGGGATCAAGTTTCTAACACATGAACTTTAGGGGACACATGGAAACTACAGAAGATATGGAGACTATATTTTTATTCATATTTGATATAAGGACAACTGGGCAAAATATTTTAAATTATTAGGTTGGTACAAAAGTAATTGCAGTTTTTCCATTAAGAGTAAAGGCAAAGAGCGCAATTATTTTTGCACCAACCTAATAGCAGCTTTTCAGAAAACCTGATCATTGTGGTTGCTCTACATAGGTAATTCTACTAATAGGAATATTCAATTCTTTCCATTTGTGTAGGACTTCCTAGTTTGCAAGGTATCTTTCCATATAACTTCATTTGAACCCATAACAGCTCTGAAAAGAAGACAGAATAGATTTCATGACAACTCTAGAGATAAGGACATCTGACCAGGTCCCAATTTCAATGAGAGACAGAAGCAGGGGTAGAACTTTGGCTTCCTGATTTCTAGTATCAGGAAAGACTTCAAGAAGGAATTGTGCATAAAGTAGGCTTAGCTATGCAGCAGAAAAGACAACCCCAGTATCTCAATGGCTTAAAATCTCAATGGCTTAAAATAACAGTCATTTGTTTCTTGCTCATATAGATCCATCGCAGGTGGGTTGATTTTCCAAGGTAACTGCCCTTCATACATCAATTGTGTAATACATCTCTTTCCTCTTGTAGCTGCCCTTTGCTCCTTGGTTACACACAGGGAACAGCGTTTTGCAGTGAAAATAAAATGCTTTGACCTAGGAATGATATGAACCCTTCTCATAGCTCACAGGCTAGCACTAGTCACGTGGCCCTGCCTGATTGCAAAGGGAAAAGGTATTTGTAAGTTTCCTGTGTTCCCAAGGCATAGATGAGCACTAAAACTCTCTCCTATATTAAATAAATTTGATTTGAAGAAGTAGGAGAAGGCCTCTTGAGGGCAGTTATGAAAACAATGTAAAGAAACATACACAGAACACCTAATCTTTTTGAAAGCTTGGTGCTGGGGTCTCTCGCAATAGATTTTTATTATTTTATCCCAACGAAAACCTGGTAAGTAGACATTATCCCCTTTTTTATAGTTTTGGTCATTGCAGTTCATGGAGGTATTTATCCTGTCCCAGAGTTCACTTTAAGAAGTGGAGGGAATTCTGATTCTCTCGCTCTTCCGTTTCTCCATCTCTCAATTTCATATAATGATCTTTTCTTCCATCCCATAAGAAATTCAATTTTATAAAAGGAGCTTCTAGGGAGGGATAAACAAAGGCAGGCTGACAATGTTTTATTTTTTAAAGTTACAATATTTTATTTTTTAAAGCTGGGTGGTGAGCACACAGATGTTTGTGTTCTTTTTATGTCTAAGTATTTCAAAATACAATCTTTTCAAAAGGGGGTTGATAGAATCTGAGAACCAGTGACAAATTCTTCTTAAAAAGAGAAGCATTTTTTATGAATATTGGCAGCCAGAAAGTAGGACACACAGTATTGGTAATATTTATTGAGCCCATACTATGTCCTAGTTTGAGGTTGGTTGGTTTGTTCCTTGCGACAGGGTCTTACTCTGTCATCCAGTCTCGAATGCAGTGGTGCAGTCTTGGCTTACTGTAGCCTCGACCGCCAGGGCTCAAGCCATCCTCTCACTCACCTCAGCCTCCGGAGTAGCTGGGACTACAGATGTGTACCACCATACCCGGGTAATTTTTAAATTTTGTGTAAAGATAGGGTCTCACTATGTTGCTCAGGCTGGTCTCAAATTCCTGCCTTCACGTGATGCTCCTGCATCTCAAAGTACTGGGATTATAGGCATGAGCCACTGTGCCTGGCCAGATAGTTTTAAATAATTTCTTTACATATTTTATTTCATCCTTCCAACAACCCTATGAGGTAGATACTATTATTATCCCCATGTTCAAATGAGATAAGAAAACTGAAACAAGTACAGATTAAGTAATTTACCTAAATCACACATTTATTAAGGGAAAAACTGGATTGGAATCAAGCATGCTGGTTTCAGAATACCTACACAGAATACCTATCCTGGAAAACCTCCCCCAAGAGGACGTTCAGCCAAATATGCAGAGGTGGATGAAAATCTTTTGTGCTTCTCCAGCCAAATGCCTGGTACATTCCCTAGACATTTAAGACCAGTTAAACAGGGAATTTAAAATAGCTTTCCCATGACAGAGACAGACAAAAGAGTGGTGTTGTTGGCAGGAAATTCAAAGAAATATTGAATGCAAGGGCTGACTCCCTTGGACCGGAGGAAGGGTAAGAGTAGGTGATAATAGACGGTTCTATCGATCGTGGAAACTTCCTTGGCAAGGAAGGTGGAGCTGGGGCGGGGTTTAAAAATTCCTGAAGGTCAAGCGATCTAGCCCATCGTTTTTCTCCTGCTTGGATAGGGGCGCTATAAAAGCGCAGTTTGGGATCATTACTGTCTCTACTACTCACCAAATTAAGTTACTCCGAAAGTGATCTCATCGCCACCCCAATTCCAACACACACCCATTGACATACTTGGGTTCGGCGGTGCGGCGCAAGGAATTCCCAGGTGGGACACCCTAGCTAGAAGGAAATCCGGAGGCAGGGCGAGGGGCGACCCACGCCACAGTCCGCCTGGAGGACCGCCGCCAGGGGCCGCTCTCGCCCAAGTCGGCCGCTCTGTCTCCTCCCCGCGCGCTCCCGCCCCTCGCTCCGCGCAGCCCCAGAGAAGGCGGAAGCAGTGGCGTCCGCAGCTCGGCTTTGGCCCGCGGGCGGCCCGCGGAGGTGGCGACGTCGCCCTTTGGCCCCCGAGTTTGACGTCGGAGCAGTCTCATCTCGGAGCGCAGTGCCTGTGTCCGTCCCCTACCAGCGTCTTGGCTGAGCAGAGTCCTGCGGCTGGGGACAGCCCTGCCCGCCTGGTTCGGCCGCCCGGCGCACTTGAGCGGTGAGTCTCTTTCGGGCGCCTCCTCCCGGCGGCCGCGGCCTCGCGTCCCACCCATCAGGGACGTCGCCCCCCGCCCCTTCGCTCTCGGCGGGTCGGGGACGCAGTCCATGTCCATTCGCTTTCCACCGGTCCGGGACGCCCCCCCTGTCCCCTCGCTTCCCACAGGTCCGGGACGCCGCCCCTGTCCCCTCGCCTCCCACCGGTCTGGGACGCCTTCGCTGTCCCCTCGCCTCCCACAGGTCCGGGACTCCGCCCCTGTCCCTCGCTTCCCACCGGTCGGGGACTCCGCCCCTGTCCCCTCGCCTCCCACCGGTCGGGGACGCCGCCCCTGTCCCTCGCCTCCCACCGATCGGGGACTCCGCCCCTGTCCCCTCGCCTCCCACCGGTCGGGGACTCCGCCCCTGTCCCCTCGCCTCCCACCGGTCGGGGACGCCGTCACTGTCCCCTCGCCTCCCACCGGTCGGGGACGCCGCCCCTGTCCCCTCGCCTCCCACCGGTCGGGGACGCAGCCCCTGTCCCCTCGCCTCCCACAGGTCCGGGACTCCGCCCCTGTCCCCTCGCCTCCCACCGGTCGGGGACGCCGCCCCTGTCCCCTCGTTTCCCACCGGTCGGGGACGCCGCCCCTGTCCCCTCGTTTCCCGCGGGTCGAGGACTCCGTTCCCTGCTCCTCGCTTCCCGCGGGTCGAGGACTCCGTTCCCTGCTCCTCGCTTCCCGCGGGTCGGGGACACCGTTCCCAGTCCCCTCACCTCTACTCCCCAGGCCTCTTCCCCCTCGCTCACTTCACCCACTAAAAAACCCCGCCTCGCCTTCCTCGGTCTCGCTCCGCTCACTCCCTTTTTTCTCTTTCCCAGAAAAGGAAATTGCCTCCTAGAGTTTTCCGTCCCTTGGAGCAAACACCTGCTTACATTAAAAAAAAAAAAATCCTTTACATTCCTGGCGACTCCCTCTGTCACTGTCATGGGAAGGCTATTTTTGGATTCCCTGTTGAACTCGATAGAAGTCTCAGGCAGCAAGTTTAAAAAAAAAAAAAAAAAAAAAAGGCTCAGATGACACGAATGTTTCCTCCCCCGCCCCTACACTTGGTAGTTCGAGCGATTGTTCCAGACGCTGGGTTGATAAAGCTGTTCCTAGTATTTGGCCTTAGGGGAACTCCAGCTGAGTTAGGACTGTCTTGAATGTGAACAGAAAGCACCTAAAGTATTCGCAGCTTCTCTATATAGTATTTGATTGATTGCTTCTTTGGGAGCAGATTACTATTACTGAAAGTCTTGTTACATGGATTCCATATAGAAAGGAGAAAAACTGGTAAAGAAATTCTGTGTTGGCCTCAACTAGGCCGCTATCATTTCATTCATTCTCCTTTGGTTACTAGGGAAGGGAGGGGGGTTTTTCTGATTTTGAAGTTGAAGATATGGTGAAGAAAAATGTGGCCTCTCTTGTGACTCTAGGAAGGAGTCAGGCATGTGGTGGGTACAGGATCACATCAGAGTTTCAACCTTCATGCGCAACAATATTTCAGAATTGTAATGTGAGGTCTTCTCTGTGATAAACTGGGATATGTAATGCTAATAAACTTCGGGCCATGTAGATGTGGAGAGAAGTTCAAATCCTTGCCTCCTGGAGCAGAATAAATAGTGCCCAGGAAGGGAATGCCCCTTGAATTTGGATTCAGAGTTAAGGCACAACAGTTGAATATTTTGCAGCATCTCTTGGCCATTGGAGCACATTTGCAGGTCTTCACACTTTAAAAATAAATTTTAAGAAACTGATAAATAGTTTCTGTTTCTAAAGCTAGTAGCAAATTAAAAGTAATTTCTCATATTTGTTTTACATGATTTTACTTTAATAAGTTATATATTTACTCATGTATGGATTTCAGTTGACTTAAAATTGACTCATTTAAGACATAACTTGTTGATTGTTTAGCTTGGCACATATCTCCTTAGCATCTGTCTTGGAGGACAAACTTTTTGTAGAGCATCCTACTTCCCGCTCCCCCAAGACATTACAGTATTCTCTTTGGATTATAATGTATACCCAGATGCTAATTTGTGAATTTAAACCATGATTTTTGTCAAAGCTGTTTATAGTACTACTCATTTTACAGTTTGAATAAGTTAACAGTAGTTACATTCCACAATATTTAATTAAGGCAGTGCTTACCATACTAGATTTGCAACTGCAAAAGGGAATTACAATCAGGACACTCTTAACATACAATTTAAGGAACGATTTAAACTTTGTTCCATCCCTTTATTCCTGTAGAAAGCCACATAAGTAAGTAGAATAAAGGCTGTAAGACATTTTTATTTTAGGCCTGGCATGGCGGCTCATGCCTGTAAATCCCAGCAGTTTGGGATGCTGGTGTGGGAGGACTGCTTGAGCCCAGGAGTTTGGGGCCAGCCTGGGCAACATGACAAAACCTCGTTTCTACAAAAAACGCAAAAATTAACCAGGCTTGGTGGCATACACCTGTAGTCCCAGCTACCTGGGAGACTGAGGTGGGAGGATCACTTGAGCCCAAGAAGTGGAGGCTGCAGTGAGCCATGAATCTGCCACTGCACTCCAGCCTGGGCAATAGAGCAGGATCCTGACTCAGATATATATATATTTATTATGAAAACATTTTTATGTAAAATCAAGTTCTATCTCTAGCTTTTTGTAACAACTACTGTGACACGGTAGTAGTTTGAAAAGTAAAAAATATCCTGATAGAGCACAATATTTTCTGCATGCATGCCAGATCATCTTTTATTCACTTCTGTAACTGACACAAAGCACTTTTTTGTTCTTCTCTTAGTGTTAGTTAAAATAGTTATTCATTATAATTAAGTTAGAAAGGTGATTTTTTTCCTTAAGTCATCGCAATCTTTAAAACTAAGGAGACAAAACGTTTCGATTTGCCAAAGAAGAGGAAACAAATGCTAAGTGGCAGTCAAGAACTGTTTTTAACTTAATTTTCCCTTTATGTCCAGTTACTTGGAACTATATACTATGGACTTAAAGGGTGACTATCTGAAAAAGTTTATTTGGAAAATAGAAAACTTCTGTATTGCTTCTTGAAGCATGGAAAGTAATGTGAAACTTGAAGGCAATAGATTTTGAACATTGCTGACTTTTATGTGTCACACGGCATTCCTGCAGTGGAGTTCCTTTTAAGGAATTGTAACTGATTAGACAGATTTTCTTAGGAACACATTAGCTATACAAGGTCTCTTCAGACCTAAAGACCTTCAAGCCTTTTGAACTGGCCTGGAAGCAGGCAGTGTTGACTATCCAATAAACTAAACTTTAAACTGGACATTTGGGCAGAAAAGAAAAGATAAACCTAGCTTCATAATTTCTGCCTTTGTCTTCTGGTTAGCACTTGGATATATGTCCTACAACCAAATAACAAATACTAATTTCTCAAAAGTGATTTCACTTAAATGGTTAAAGACTGAAATATACCTAATGTTATCAAGGGTATCGAAAATGGACTATTGCATATATACCGTGACTGTGAGAGTGGAAATTAGAACGTCTTTGATACATATTGGATAAGCAGCATCATCTATCAGAAAGCTTAAAAAGTTACATACCATCTGATCCAGCAATTCTGCCTCTAGGATATTTACCTAAGGAAGTAAATTGGTCACAAAAATGTACAGGTATATCTCTTTATTTATTTATTTTTGAGATAGAGTCTCACTCTATCACCCAGGCTGGAGTGTGGTGACAACTCACTGCAGCTTCCGCCTCCCAGGTTCAAGCAGTTCTCTGCCTCTGCCTGCTGAGTAACTGGGACTACAGGTACATGTCAGCATGCCCAGCTAGTTTTTGTATTTTTGGTAGAGACAGCGTTCCACCCTCTTGGGCAGGCTGGTCTCGAACTCCTGACCACGTGATCCACCCACCTCGGCCTCCCAAAGTGCTGGGATTACAGGTGTGAGCCACCACGTCCGGCCCAGATATACCTCATTTTATGGCATAGTTTTTTTTGCACTTCATAAATAGGGGCTTTTTTTTTTTTTTTTTTAAATACATATTGAAGGTTTTTGTCAGCCCTGTGTTGTGCAAGTCTTTCCACACCATTTTCTACAACAGTATGTGCTCACTTTGTATTTGTCTGTCACATTTTGGTAATTCTTGCAATATTTAAAACTTTATTATTGTATCTGTTACAGTGATCTTTGATTAGTGGTCTTTGATGTTACTATTGGAATTGTTGTTTTAGGGTACATGAAGCACACCCATATAATGAGATGGTGAACTTTATAAATGTGAGCTGACTGCTCCACTGACCAGCTGGTCCCCTGACTATCCCGCTTCTCAGGCCTCCCTACTCCCTGAGACACAGCAATATTGAAATTAGACACAACAATTTTGAAATTAGGCCAATTAATAATACTACAATGGCATCTAAGTGTTCAAGTGAATGGAAGAGCCACGTGTCTCTCACTTTAAATCAAAAGCCAGAAGTAATTATGCTTACTGAAGAAGGCACATCAGAAGCAAAAATAAACCAAACATTTAGCCAAGTTGTGAATGCAAAGGAAAAGTTCTTGAAGGAAATTAAAAGTGCTACTAAGTGAACTCACTAATAAGAAAGTGAAACAGCCTGTTGCTAATATGGAGAAAGCCATCATGGTCTGGATGGAAGATCAAACTAGCCACAACATTTCCTTAAGTCAGAACCTAATCCAGAGCAAGGTCCTAATTCTTTTCAATTCTGTAGAGTTTGAGAGAAGTGAGGAAACTGCAGAAGAAAAGTTGGAAGCTAGCAGAGATTGGTTCATGAGGTTTAAAGAGAGAAACCCATCTCCGTAACATAAAATTGCAAGGTGAAAGAGCAAGTGCTGATTAGCATATTATCCAGAAGATCGAGCTGTGGTCATTGATGAAGGTGGCTACACCAAACAACAAATTTTCAATGTATACAAAATAGCCTTTTATTGGAAGAAGATGCCATCTAGGATGTTCATAGCTACAGACAAGTCTATTTCTGGCTTCAAAACTTTAAAGGACAGGCTGACTTTCTTGTTAGGGGCTAATACAGCTGGTGACTGTGACGTGAAGCCAGTGCTCATTTACAGTTTTGAAAATCCTAGGGCCCTTAATGATTATACTAAATCTACTCTTCCTTTGCTTTATGAAGGTAGCAGCAAAGCCTGGATGACAGCATATCTGTTTACAACATAGTTTACTGAGTATTTTAATCCCATTGTCAGGAACTGTTCAGGAAAAAGAGATGCCTTTCAAAATATTACTGCTTATTAACAATGCATCTGATCATCCAAGAGCGCTGATGAAGATGTTCAAGAAGATTAATGTTGTTTTCATGCCTGCTAATATAGCATTCATTTTGTAGGCTATGGATCAAGGAGTCATTTAGACTTCCAAGTCTTATTATTTAAGACATACATTTCATAAGGCTATAGCTGCCATAGATAGTGAGTCCTCTGATGGATCTGAGCAAAGTAAATTGAAAACTTTCTGGAAAGGATTCACCTTTCTGGGTGCCGTTAAGAACATTTGTGACTCATGGGAGGAGATCAAAATATCAGCCTTAACCAGAGTTTGAAAGAAGTTGAACTTGAAAGAAGCCCTCATGGATGACTTTGAGAGGTTTGAGACTTCATTAGAAGTCACTGAAGATGTGGTAGAAATACCAAGAGAACTAGAATTAAAAGTGGAGTCTGAAGATATGACTGAATTTCTACAGTCTCATGGTAAAACTTGAACAGATGAGAAGTTGCTTCTTATGGATGAGCAAAGAAAGCGGTTTCTTGAGATGGAACCAGCTCCTGGTGAAGCTGCTGTGAACGTTGTTGAAATAACCACAAAGGATTTAGAATATTCCACAAACCTAGTTGATAAAGCAGTGGCAGAAGTCGAGAGGATTAACACCATTTTTGAAAGAAGTTCTGCTGGGATAAAATGCTATCAAACAGCATCACATGCTACAGAGAAATACTTCATGAAAGCAGAAGTCAATCTGTGTAGCAAACTTCATTGCTGTATAATTTTAAGAAATTGCCACAGCCACCCAACCATTAGCAACCACCAACCTGATCAGTCAACAGCCATCAACATTGAGGCAGGACCGTCTACCCCAATATCATAGCTCGTTGAGGGCTCAGATGATCACTAGCATTATTTAGCAATAAGGTGTTTTTAAGTTAAGGTATATACACAGTCCTTTTAGACATAATGCTGTTACACTCTTAATAGTCTATAGTGTAAACATAACTTTTTATATGTACTGGGAAACAAAAGAATTTTTATTACTCACTTTATTATGGCATTTGGATTACTGCAGTGGTTTGGAACTGAACCCAAGATGTCTGAGTATGCCTGTATATGGAATAAAAATAACAAAGGATATTGGTGTAGCATAACAGCATCATTTGTCCTCAGGTTTGGAAGGCATAAAGGGGACCCCATACCCCATTTTATGGCCCAACTGTAGTGACTAGTTCTGCTTTTTTCTGCTGTCTTGCCATTGTTTGCTTCCTTTCAATCTGTGTGAACCTTCCCTAGGAGTCCACATCAGATATAACAAGGCTTTGGGAGCTATTTTTAACTTCAGGAATACTGTGTCAGAACTAAACAAATAAACCACAGCCGGGCAGGGTGGTTCATTCCTATAATCCCAACACTTTGGGAGGCCAAGGCAGGTGGATCCTTTGAGGTGAGGAGTTCCAGACCAGCCTGGCCAACATGGCAAAACCCCGTCTCTACAAAATTCAAAAATTAGCTGGACGTGGTGACAGGTGCCTGTAATTCCAGCTATTGGGGAGGCTGAGGAGGGAGGGAGAATTGCTTGAACCCGGGAGGTGGGGGTGGCAGTGAGCCAAGATTGTGCCACTAGACTCCAGCCTGGGTGATAGAGTGAGACTCTGTCTCAGAAGAAAGAAAGAAAAAAAAAAAACAAGTGAACCACATGTCAAGTTTCTTTGCAGATTCTTTGGAATTCTGTCAAATTCACTGTAGTATTACTAGACAGACCATGTTTAATAGTAGCTGTGGCCAGTACTTTAGTGTAATAAAGGCAAATACATTTTAAATGCAGCTTTATGGACAAATTGGTCAAAAAATGGATAAAAGTAGTGTAGTATAAAGTGCAAAGCTCCAAGGTCAGGTAGACTTGGGTTCTGATCCCAACTCTGTGACTTACTATTTGGGTAATCTTGGTTAAGTTACTTAACCTTTTAAGCTTCATAATTACCACTTTGATAAGTGGGGACAACAAAACTTAAATAAAATACTACATCAAGTTGTTGTAGTAACTCATTCTTACCGCCTGGCACTGTTGTAAGTGCTTTGCGCATATTAACACATTTAATCCTCTTAGTAACTCAGTTGGATTTTATTGTTAGAACCATTTTACAAATGAGAAAATTGAACGACAGAAATGTCATGTAACTTGCCCAGCTCATAAATGGAAGAAAAGAGTTAAATTAATATCATTCAGTTCCATCACCTGAGCTCATCACCACTTAATAGCACTGCCTTTCCAGCCAGAATAGTGCCTCATTGTAAGTGGCCATCAAGTGCTACTCAGAATTTTTTAAGAGAATAAAAAGTATTTGTAGTGGTAAAAGGATTGACTACTACTGTCTTAATCCTCAATTTGGTGAAGTGGCAGCCAGGAATTTTATATAAAAGACAAGCAGAAGAATAATTATCTATCATATTGACTGGAGGCCTACATTCTGTTTGTAGAATGATATCTGGCACATACTAGAATTTTTTTTAGAAGTATTTAAAATACAGATGTGGTTACACAGGCTGTGAATTGCTTTTAAATAGCTTCTCACTTGTATATACCATGATGATTTAGAATTTGAAGATACCTCCTCTGCTATGAAAGCAATAGTTTTCCATAGGCAAACAAAATATCGCTTGTTTTTCCAGTCATTAATAATGAAACATAGTCACTTGACCTGACTGAAGGCAGAAGGACATAAAAATATACTTTTTCAATTCTGTTTTTTCTACCTAATAGAAATCTCCACACTGAGCATTTGGAAGTCCTTACAGAGTTTTAGACCTGGAAGAAGAAACAAAGATCTAAATGGTTAAGTAACTTGCACTAAATCACATATCCAGTAGTGGCACATGATCACCTGATTCCTGTGAACTTTTCCTAGCACTGAGCTGCTAGCCATACTATGCTCTTCAGCTCTGAATACTTGAAGGAACTTCAACAACATGGATAAGTTCTTTAGTAGGTGCTTAGTGAACACTTACTGTATGAAAAATCTTGTGCTAAGTACTGAGGAAATAGGATTTAAATATTCAGCTCAGTCACAGGAAACAGACGTGTAAACAAATAATTGTAATATGGAAGAGCATTACACCTGAGGTGCTTCTCCTTTTTTAACCTTATATTCTTTCTACCAGATCATGAACTTCTGCAGACACCCAGCTTTCTTTGTGTGCTCCCAGTGATTTGCACAAATTATAATATATTTATTGAAGGAGAGAATCAGTTAAGTTATAGTAGTCATGAAAAAGCTCAAAACACTTTAAAAAGTTTTCCGTAAATAACATTAATACGGCTGATAAATGTGAACTAAAAAGTGACTTGTATAGATAAGCTATGATATATATGTGTGGGGTGTGTGTGTTACTTATGTGTTAAGGCATTTTTTCTTGCTATTTCTACAGAGCAAGTGATAATCAAGTTACTATGAGTCTACTAAATTGTGAAAACAGCTGTGGATCCAGCCACTCTGAAAGTGACTGCTGTGGGGCCATGGCCAGCTCCTGTAGCGCTGCAACAAAAGATGATAGTGTGGGTGGAACTGCCAGCACGGGGAACCTCTCCAGCTCCTTTATGGAGGAGATCCAGGGATATGATGTGGAGTTTGACCCACCCCTGGAAAGCAAGTATGAATGCCCCATCTGCTTGATGGCATTACGAGAAGCAGTGCAAACACCATGCGGCCATAGGTTCTGCAAAGCCTGCATCATAAAATCAATAAGGTATGTGAGCATAAGAAAGAATGGTGTCCTATAACAAAACCAGATACAGAAAACATTATTACACAGAACATGGAACATCCCAAAAAGCTACTTAGGAAAAAAGAACAGTGGACAGAAAATTGAGAAAGTTAGATTCTTATCCCAGTTCCTACTGTTGTGTGAAAAGTGACGTGAATCTCCTCCTCTCTTGACCCTTGGATAAATAATTTGCTACTTACACTAAAAGCAATTCTAATGCAGACTGGGGAGTGACTCTGTGCTTTAAAGAAAATCGTATCTTTTTAATGTACCTTAAATTATGATGCTACTAGATAATGATAATCTCAACCACACAAAGAATACTGACTATGTAAGTGATCACTTACTGTGATTTTAGGCATGTTAAATCCTGTCTATTACCTAAAGTGTATGGGCAACTGTAAAATTACCAGCATTTTTAAGGAAAGTATTAACTGAAGGCTCCACTGCCATAATATATCCAAAATCCCGTCCCTTCTCACTTTGTCCCCTACTACCCACCTGTTGTGAATCACCACCAGCTCTCTAACAGGCCCCCTGCTTTCTGTTCTTGCCTTCTTCCAGGCTCTTCTCAATACAGCAGCCAGAGTGAACCTAGTAAAATAAGTAAGATATCATCTCTGCTTAGACCATTGTAGCATGGTTTCTGGGAGTAAAAGTAAAATCCATATAACATCCTGTCTGATAGGCGCATGATTCATTTTCTGACCTCTCCACTGTGCTGTTTCTCCTTCTATTCATTCATTCCGTCTTTGCTGTTCCTTGAATGTGTCAGACACACTCCTGCCTTGGTGAGCGGCTTTAGCTATTCTGTTTGCAGCACTCAGGCCACAGCTAACTTCTTAACTCTTTCAGTTTGTCTCAAATCTCACCTTCTCATAGGTCCCCTTGCCACCCCATTTATACCACAGTGTGCTTCCACCTTCTTGCCCAACACTCCCAGTCTCCACCCGACTCTACTTTTTTCCTTAGCACTTTCTGCCTTCTGAACCACCAGATAATTTATGTGTTTATTGTCTGCTTGCCCCACTGGATGATAAGTTCCTTGAGAGCAAAGGTTTAGATCTGTTTCATTTCTTGATTTTTTCTAAGTTCTGGAAACAGTGCCTGACCCATAGTAGATGACCAGTAAATCATGGTTGCTTTAACTGAATGAAAGTACTTGCAATTACCATGGAATTAGATAAATTTTACTATAATTCAAAAGTAAATGGGAAGATTTTTAGGTGATAAGGCCAAAAATTGGATGAAGGAGAGCAGATTTTATGTTCTTCAATAAATAGCCATCTAGTTATACTAAATCATTCGTAAGTAGGTTAAGTCATTCCTGGCAATGTGGTTAGTCTCCTAAGTTTTTATCTGTCAACTTTTACATTAACTTTTCTATAAAACTTGAATTTAAGAGTAACTACATCCATACTCAGGACTTGGCTTAATTTAAGTCACAAAAGATAATGTCTGCTGTTTCAATTTTGGGGAAAAATGTGTTATGCATCACTGACTTTACAAGGTCTATTTTGGGTAGATTTTTCTCAGCCTCGACATTATTGATATTTTGGGCTGGATAATTATTTGTCATGGAAGAATGTCCTGTGTGCTGTAGGATCTTTAGCTGCATGCCTGGCGTCTGCTCACTGGATGCTGTTAGTATCCTCCTTTCCTGTGCTTAGGAGTCCCAAAATGTTCCCTGGGGGTCAAAACTGCCACTGGTTGAGACCACTCTGTATATGAGAGCAGAATCAAAGGCTCAACTTTTTTTGGAGACAGTCTTACTCTGATGCCCAGGCTGGAGTGCAAGGGCACAATCTTGGCTCACTGCAACCTCCTCTTCCCGGATTCACCTGATTCTCCTGTCTCAGCCTCCCAAATAGCTGGGATTACAGGTATGTGCACTGCCATACCTGGCTAATTTTTGTATTTTTAGTACAGATGGGGTTTCACCATGTTGTTCAGGCTGGTCTTAAACTCCTGACCTCCAGTGATCCATCTACCTTGCCCTCCAAAGTGCTGGGATTACAAGCATGAACAGTGTGTCCAGTCTCAACTTTTTTTTTCTGTGTGTAATTATTTTTATTTATGTTGTATTTAGGTAAAATGATACCATATTATGGATCATTGATTTTCCAGTGGGTAGAAATGTACATTTTTTTTTTTGCTAGGTGTCAGCCATGCCCAGGAAAGTAGCTAATCTTTAGCAGCTTTTTAATAGCAAGATGTTCATGAAAGTAGTGGGCCACTGGTCTGAAAAGGAAATACAACCCACAACAAGAAGTCTGAGGCTTTTTTTTTTTCTATCTCCCTGTAAGCTTTTTAAAAATGACCACTTAGCTCCAGTGCTCTTAAAGGAACTGCTTTGAAATTTCTCATTGGTTATAGTCATTCAAGGAATCAAAATGCTTCTCAATACTATCCCATTTTCTTTTTCTGAGGGTAGTTTTTTTCCATAATAAGAAAGAATAAACCACTGAGAAGCAGGACATAGAGATCCTTTAACTCTTTGTTACGTTGGACCCTAGACCTACAAATAAAGGAGAACTTTTGTTGCTGATTAGCTGGAGTGTTATGGTGACTATTTCAGAGTAAACTTTAAAATGGGACCTCATGGGGGTATTACTAGGTGGTTAAATTTTTACTTATGGCTCAGCAATTGCATTAGACATGTATTAGTATTGTGAGCAGCATATTTCATCTTTCTAGTGTATTGTATAGGTGTGACAGCACAGAGGCCAGACTGCCAAAATTCTCGCTCGTAACTGTCACTTCATTTTATGCCAATCAGAATATAATCTTATTCAGCTAATTTTTCTCAAAAAGCTGGACTCCATCCCATCATATAAAAATCTCTTAGCTTTTGATAGGTTATCAATATGCTGCTATTTGTACTCATTTCATAAAAGAACAGTTCATAAGCTGTCCATTAAAAGATAGTTTATTTTTGTGACATGAAATGTAATGTGTTAAATTTTTTCCTTATGAAACAATAAATGAAGAATTTATATATGGTGAATTAAAGTTGTGTGGATTTTCTGATGTGAATATTTAAATCTACGAATTGTATGTGTTTTATTTGTTTCTGTTAGGGATGCAGGTCACAAATGTCCAGTTGACAATGAAATACTGCTGGAAAATCAACTATTTCCAGACAATTTTGCAAAACGTGAGATTCTTTCTCTGATGGTGAGGTGTCCAAATGAAGGTTGTTTGCACAAGATGGAACTGAGGCATCTTGAGGTATTAAAGTTCTTTTCTAGCTGTCAACACATGTATAAAAGGAAGTTCCTACAGAAAAGGGACTTTGCCGTATCCATCTGTGTATTGCCACTACCTAGCATATGATGATTGGTTAATAAATTCTTGCTGAATTAATGCCAACCGTTTATTTATTGAATATAAACATAGGTAGAAACCAGAAATACACTTTTATCTACTCTGGTTTGTCCAGCAGTAATTTTTTTAAAAATCAGTATTGTTTTATAAGCTTTTTTGTTGAGCATTATCTGCAGTAAACCTGAAGAGCATTTTAAATACTAGTGTCACATTTTTATCTTATAACTTCATTTTTGTCATTTTGGAATAAGCAGTAAGTCCTAAGTAATCATCTCAGAATCCTCATTATGCTTTTTTCTCTCTGTTTGCTTAAATTGTGCATTTTATTATGAACTAAATGGAATACTCCTATGGACTGAGATTAACTGAAACAATCAGATTATTAAGTAATTTGCTTTTAAACTAAATAAACCATTAGGTTGGTGATTTTTACCAGAAATTATTATCAATGTTACATTTGAAATTAAATGGTTAAGACAGATATGCTACTTGCTCCTTTTACTTATTAGCTCTTCCTAAAAGAGAGTGGCCTTTTTGATACAATAATAAATTGGTAAATAGGAAATCTGACTTCTTTCCAACTCTCTTCCCTAATTGGATATATAAACTTGAGAATTCACATTCTTTGTATAAATTTGCAGTCCACAGCCAGTATTTGAAAAAATTCACTAAAGATATTCAAATTATGAATGGTTCTGTGGTGTGCACTTGACAAAGTAGACACAGTAACCTACTTAAAGAAAGGTTCAGTAGGCTGCTGAGAGCAGTATATTATTAGGAGAGATTATATTTAGAAGATTTCAGAGTTGGCTAATACTAATCTATTATGATTTTCTTATTATAGGATCATCAAGTACATTGTGAGTTTGCTCTTATGGATTGTCCCCAATGCCAGCGTCCTTTCCAAAAATGCCAAATTAATATTCACATTCTGAAGGATTGTCCAAGGAGACAGGTTTCTTGTGTAAACTGTGCTGCATCAATGGCATTTGAAGATAAAGAGGCATGTTCTAACTTGGATTTGTTAATTTTACATCTTTAAACATCATTCTTAAATGTGTGTTTGAGGGCATTAGCAGTAGATAAGGATGTGACTCTTAACTCTCACTCTGCATTATCAATTTTGGGAAAAATGATTTTTAAGAAAAAGTTCATACTAAGCCATTTTAGTATATAAGTGTAGAATTTGCATTTGCATGTCTTTCTTAACAAACATCATTTATACTAGTTATCACTACTATAGATGCAAATAACAGAACTTCTAGGAAAGGCATATGCCACTCAACTTTTCTTTGTGATTAAATTAATGACCATTTTTGGATTGGAGATAAACAAGTAGAACAATTACTACATAAGATTTACACAGAACTATTTTGAAAAAGAGAATGGGTTGTCATAACTATTATGAAAAATAAAACCCACAAAATGTTTCCTTAATGATACTTCATCGTGCTGTATATATACAATGTGTTTACACTTCTCATTATATATGTTATATTTTAAAGTTTATCTTTTAAAAAGAAACTTGATGGTGTCTAACAGCGTCATGATTATAGGACAGTTTTCATATTCAGAAACTGAGATAGATTAAGTATACTTGTATTAATATTGCCAATAAAAAAGCTAACACTGAAATCTAAGCCCTTGATCCCTATCCTATATATACTTTTATAAAATAGCCTACATATAATTTATGTTCTTTTATTCTATTACTTAGATACTTCCTTAAACTACAGTTTTTTTTTTTTTTTTTTTTTTTTTTTGAGACGGAGTTTCACTCATGTTACCCAGGCTGGAGTGCAATGGCGCGATCTCGGCTCACCGCAACCTCCGCCTCCTAGGTTCAGGCAATTCTCCTGCCTCAGCCTCCTGAGTAGCTGGGATTACAGGCATGCACCACCATGCCCAGCTAATTTTTTGTATTTTTAGTAGAGACGGGGTTTCACCATGTTGACCAGGATGGTCTCGATCTCTTGACCTCGTGATCCACCCGCCTCGGCCTCCCAAAGTGCTGGGATTACAGGCTTGAGCCACCGCACCCGGCCTAAACTACAGTTTTTATAAATTCATGTTGGCAGTTTTTCCCTACTTTTAGGTCAAGCATATTATATCCATTACATTGATAAAATGCTCCAAAAAAGTCAGCTAATTTAGTATAAATGTAGAGAAGTCTGAATCATAATTAGAGTAAAATGACAACTCCTTTCCAAACTTTAGTAAATTAGATTGACTTAACCTGGAAGGCTAATTATATTTTAGCACATCAACTAAAGTTACTATATTCTAGAAAATAAGCTTCACCCTTCTGGGGCATACGAGAACCTGAGCACCAGACTTTCCTGCCCTAATAAAACATTTGTTCTTTAATCCTACTAACAAGAAATTTTAACTAAATCATCATGCTGCTGCTGAAAATTTTTGGAAGAAGATTGCCTTTGGAGAATTATAGCCTGGCAGATGATGTCCAAAGTAGTTACATATGCATTGCCTCATGATAAAAGGAAGGGATTTGAAAAATTCTTTTTGTATAATACCGTGGTCTTTCAAAGAGCTGGAAGGATGAATGAATCTCATTGCTATACTGGGAAAGAGAAAGAAAATGTCCTTTATATATTACTCTCACTTTCGCTTTATACAAATTGATGTCCTTGTTTGTTTATAGTGAAAAATTACTCTTTATTGAAATTAGTTGTTTTTACTTTTGCAGATATTCTCATGCTTTTCTTATGTTTCTCTAATAAAATTTAGATCCATGACCAGAACTGTCCTTTGGCAAATGTCGTCTGTGAATACTGCAATACCATACTCATCAGAGAACAGGTATTATTCATTTTCATAAATTTCTTCGTAAACAGTTTAAAGAAGTGAGTTAGTTAGAGAAATAGAAAAATAAAAAAAGAAAGGAAGTGAGTTAGGTTTTTTAATTGAAAATTTAAATCAGTAAGGCAAAGAAATACAGATTAAAGAAGTATTCGAGCTGTGTGAAAATTTTTTATATAAATTAAGTAATAAATATTTTCAGGAAGAACAAAACATCCAGCCCTTTTTAAGTACTTAAAATTCCTAAGTCATTAACATAATACTCATGCTTTTGTATATTCATAAAAATTCCCAACAAAACCTATTTTAAGATAAAATTAATCAAAAGTAAGCGTCCCCATTTAAAGAAAGAAAAAGCTAAAATATTGATATTTACACACTGTGAAATGAGTATCTCAAGTGTCCAGAGACTGGCTAAAAGAGTAAGAGGGAGCAGTGATACAGAGGAAAGTAATTCTGTTCAGTAGGAGAATATTTTTGTAGCTGTAACCCTTGAGGCATACAGGGAAGTTTCCATATTTTCAGCACCTGTAGCCCTTCTGTTGAGTGGCCTTGTAGGCCACTGATCAGGCATCATTAGAAGTAGTAATTACAATAGAAAATTTTATGGTGGGTTTTTTTTCATTGTTGGTTTTTTTTTGTTTTTTGTTTTTTGAAATTGAGTCTCACTCTTGCCCAAAATGGAGTGTGCAGCGACACAGTCATGGATCACTGCAGCCCCAAATTCCTGGCTCAGGTGATCCTCCTGCCTCAGCCTTCCAAGGAGCTGGGACTACAGGTGTGGACTGCCATGCCTGGCTAATTTTTTATTGTTTCAGATATTTTGTAGAATCAGGGTCTTGTTATATTGTCCAGACTAGTCTCAAACTCCTGAGCTCAAGCAGTCTTCCCACTTTGGCCTCCCACAGTGCTGTAATTATAGATGTAAGTCACCAAGCCCAGCCTAAAGATTGTATGTTTTGACTATTAGTAGAGAAAGGAAAATTCCATCTGATTGCCATCTTCTGACATTTGGGGAGTTTGCCTACAAAATATGAATATTAACTATTAACTATTTTATACCCATGAAATCTGTAAACCCAGAGATCGTTATTGATATACCTTACTGAGAAGCAGCAAGCAAAACCTGTCACTGGACAAGTTTGTTAACCTTAAAATTTTTCCATTGGTTAACAGTCTCTTAATTTTTTTCAACAAAACCTTAGTTTGAGGGTGTTAAACTTCTTTTGCTTATAAAGTCCTAACTCATTTTCCTTTTTCTTCTCTTTTAATATTGAAAGGAAACCATGCAGCAAACTAAAACCCAGTAAAAGAAAAACAATGTAGGAAAAAACCCTAGGCTAAGAGTCAGAAAACCTAGGTTTTAATCCTAGGTTTAAACTGTATTAACTGTGGTTTAACTGTGCCCTCTCATCTTTAGCAAGTTGACATTCTAAATAGATCAGGGATTAGCACACTGGCCTGCCAGCCAGATCTGTCTTGCTGCCTGTTTTTGTAAATAAAATTTTATTGAAAGCCATGACCGTATGTGTATGTCTTGTGTATGGCTACTTTTATATGACAATAGTAGAGTTAGGTACTTGGGACAGAGGCAGTACAGCCCATATTTACTATCTGAACTTTTACAAAAAATTTTATTGACCCCTGTTCTACACTGTTCCCTCTTGAGAAATGAAGGATTGAATTATAATAAATGGTCTCTCAGGTACTTTCTGTTTAAATATCTTCAACTATAGCCAAATTAAATTTCTAAAGGAAACTTGGCACCACTTTTTAAAAATACGATTTCATATAATGGACCTTACCTTAGAGAATGTGTCTTAGAGTCCCAAAATCAAGGACCGAGACTTTCTTTAGAACTTTTATTAATGTTTTTAAAGTACCTTCTAATATCTGAGTCTCCCCAGTGTACTAAAATATGCCCAGATTAACAAAAGTTAAGATGATTTTTGAAAGGTGGTCATGAGGAAAGTATGAATGTAGTCAGTGGCTTCAGTGCATGCAATTGACTGCTTCCTGTTACATGGCCTAGACCTTAGTCGTGGGAGTCTTGATTGAGTTTGCTGTTGTAGGTATTGTCCGGTGTTTTTTCTGTAAAGTGCCACTAGAGGGTGCCTAGTTCCTAGCAAAAGGATCAAATTCAATTTCTTGAAATGAATTTTGAATAATTGGAGGGGGGGATATTATGAGATGTTAATATTTCCTTTCTCTATAACTTTTGGAAGTAAACATTGTTTTAATCTTTGTAAGTGACACAGTTTATGCTACACCTATTCCACTGCCAGCAAAAGCAGCCATTGACAATACAGTTTAATGTGATCACATCAAACTAGAACATGATATGCAAGGAAGAGATTTTTCAGCCTTTGTTTTGGATTTCAGATGCCTAATCATTATGATCTAGACTGCCCTACAGCCCCAATTCCATGCACATTCAGTACTTTCGGTTGCCATGAAAAGGTAAGGGTTTTTTTTTTTTTCTTTTAATTTCTTGAATATAAGTAAAAAATATTCAGTTACATCATGTGGACAAAACAACAAGAATGTAAATGTGCTTATAAAGCATTGTAATGAGTTATATAATAGAGTTATTATGGATGCTACGAGCAGAAGCAAAGGCATACTTAGCAATGCCTAAAGCATTCAGACAGACTTGACAAAACATGATGCTTTGGGCTGAATTTTTACAGGTGAAATAGTTTTCCAAGAAGACAAGGGAGAGAAGACCAATGAGAAAGAGTGAGCGTGGTGATTTGAGGAACTACAGGTAGTTTGTGTTGTGCTAGTTCAACCCAGTAGCAATGTAGATTATTTGAGGTGGAGGTGGAGGTGGGGGTAGCAGTACCTGAGCTGTTGGAATACCTAAGTGAAGACAGCTTGAATTATAGCCATGACAGTGAAGGTAGGTCTAGGAGCCAATACATATTTAGGAGAGAAGATGTATTGCCTGTGGGACTAAATAAATGTGATGAGTGAAGGAGAGGGAGGCATCTAGCTAGAATGACTTGGTTTCTGGCCTTGATCACTGGGTAGATGGATGGGCCATTCACCAAAAAGAGTGAACACAGGATAACTGATTGGAGGTACAGGTTTTAAAAAAAACCTGTTTTAATGAATTGAGTTGCACATATGACTTCACCCAGCCAGGGAACAGGTGGACTGACATGCGTTATGTGCAGTCTTAAGCTCCATAGAGAAATCAGGACTCAGAGAAGAGCCATGAACAAACAGTATAAGAAATAGATGAACCAGGCAAAGAGAAAGTAGTATCATGGTCTCCAAAATAGTTTAAAGACTCATGATCAGTATTGTCAAATGTCTAAGATGGATCATTGTTTATGGTATGTCTTTCTTTTTGGAGAGTGCAGTTACAGTTTTGCTTTTCCATTATACTTTTTTTTTCCTGACTTACATATAATAAACATACATCTAATAATTTGAAAAATCAGAAAAATGGTATGGTTATATTTTTGTAGAAATGTTCTGTATTTTTGTGCTTAGAGAAAAAGACGAAATAAATTATAAAAATGTTAATTTTATAGTTAGGTGAGATAATAGGTAGCATACTCTGATCATCTATATTTTTTAGTTTTTTTTATGATTTTATGACCTTTTATCATAAAAATTGTTGTAGTATGAATGTTTTTGTATTGTAGGATATTCTTAATGACCTTAGCATGGTGACAGGAAAAATTCCAATTTGCAATACATTTATATATTGGGAAGTGTAGACAATACAGGTAGACCATATTCTTGACTTTTTTAAAAAAGAAGAAAATGGTATTAATATTAACCAGAGACAAAAGATCTTTAGAGGGGTGTATCCTTTTTTAATGGGAAATATTTTAATAATTGTATTCTAAAGGAAAGGGAATGTGTTAGAGGAAGAGATGTTTGAAGATGAAAAATCACTGAGTAAGATTTCTGAGGTGTTGGCAACAGGTCACGTGCCATTTAGAGCACAGGTAGAATATTAATCTTGGAGAAGACAGGCATCTCTGAGTCAGAAAAGAAGGATAGGTGTAAATACTGGCATTTTTGTAGGTGGGAGGGAGATTTACATGAGTGAAAGCCAGGAGAGTGGTCATCAGATAGCCTGTTTTTCAGTGAACCAAGAGGCAGTGTTGTTTCATTGGCTCAAGAATCTGTTGAAGGCAAAGGAAAATTGTAGAGAATTGAGGGAAGTGGTGTGACTACTTGAAAACTTCTTGTATGACCTGGCCAGGTCCTTTTTCTAGTCCTCACAGTTATCTATTCCCAACCTAAGGCTTGTGCTTGATTCTTAGATGCAGAGGAATCACTTGGCACGCCACCTACAGGAGAACACCCAGTCACACATGAGAATGTTGGCCCAGGCTGTTCATAGTTTGAGCCTTACTTTAACTCCCGCTCCTCCCACCCCTGAGGTCTGGAATTTCCAGGAAACTATTCACCAGTTAGAGGGTCGCCTTGTAAGACAAGACCATCAAATCCGGGAGCTGACTGCTAAAATGGAAACTCAGGGTATGTATGTAAATGAGCTCAGGCGAACCATTCGAACCCTTGAGGACAAAGTTGCTGAAATTGAAGCACAGCAGTGCAATGGAATTTACATTTGGAAGATTGGCAACTTTGGAATGCATCTGAAATGTCAAGAAGAGGAGAAACCTGTTGTGATTCACAGCCCTGGATTCTACACAGGCAAACCCGGGTATAAACTGTGCATGCGCTTGCACCTTCAGTTACCTACTGCTCAGCGCTGTGCGAACTATATATCCCTTTTTGTCCACACAATGCAAGGAGAGTATGACAGCCACCTCCCTTGGCCCTTCCAGGGTACAATACGCCTTACAATTCTTGATCAGTCTGAAGCACCTGTAAGACAAAACCACGAAGAGATAATGGATGCCAAACCAGAGCTGCTTGCTTTCCAACGACCCACAATCCCACGGAACCCAAAAGGTTTTGGCTATGTAACTTTTATGCATTTGGAAGCCCTAAGACAAAGAACTTTCATTAAGGATGACACATTATTAGTGCGCTGTGAGGTCTCCACCCGCTTTGACATGGGTAGCCTTCGGAGGGAGGGTTTTCAGCCACGAAGTACTGATACAGGAGCATAGCATGCCCTCACTTGTTCAAAAACAACTACCTGGAGAAAACAGTGCCTTTCCTTGCCCTGTTCTCAATAACATGCAAACAAAAAAGCGGCGGGAAAGATGTAGTATCTGCTAGTGAGCGTTGTTAGAGATGTCACTTACTAGTTCTTTCTGTTACAAATGATCTGAGACAGTTTTTTCCTGGGAGTCCACACGTTCCACTTTTTCAGAAATGTTAGGCCTGAAGTGCCTGTGGCATGTTGCAGCAGCTATTTTGTCAATTAGTATACCTCTTTGTTGTACTTTCTTGGGTTTTTATTCTGGTATGTTTTATTGTCAGAAAGCCCAGACTCAGAGTACTAAACTTTTAATAATAATGGACTTTCCTTAAAACTTCAATCTATTTTTATAGTATTATATGTAATATATTAAATGTGAGAATCACTACCGCCTTGTGCTGGTGCCCTCAAGAAGAGTTATTGCTCTAGAAAGTTGAGTTCTCATTTTTTTAACCTGTTACAGATTTCAGAGGATTTGAACCATAATCCTTGGAAAACTTAAGTTCTCATTCACTCCAGTTTTTCCTCCACGTTGTTACTAAGGATATTCAGGGATGAGTTTAAACCCTAAATATAACCTTACTTATTTAGTATAAACATGTCTGTTGAATAATACTTGTTTGAGTATCTGCCTTGCTTACGTATTTTCTTGAGGCTGTGAAGTAGTGTCTTCCCAGAGTTTATAATACTGAGAACCATGTGGATACCAACCGCTCAGTGTTATGCTAGGGAACCTTTTTGTCTATTCAGTGCAGAGTGAATTTCACAGCTCTGCATATGTCTTCAGCTGTCTGAGGCTTACAAGACAAGGAGATGGACACATAGAATCACCAACATAAAAATTAAAAGTGACTCAAGTAGTCAGGCCATGTGGCATCTCATTGGTGGTGACAAACTATTTGAGCCAGAAGTCTTCAGCTCTTTTGAATACCCTCTTGTTTAGTTCAGTTAAATGGAACAAAATTAATTTCCTAAATTCAGAATTTTTTAAAACTTGGGAGATGATTGGCGATATCAAAGAGGTCACTAAACTAAGAAGTCACAGTGGTTATATCACAACTTAGCTTGAGTAATTTGCTTTAGCCTAGCAACCGCAGGTTCTGAGAAGGATCTTGTGGAATGTTTTCAAAGTAGCCAAATGTTCCTAATAGGGAAAGATGATTTTTTTGGTGTGCCATCATGTATTTGTTAAAGGTCTGTATACAGATACAAAAAATCATGGAATCTAGTTCTTAAGGAGACCCACAATTAGTATAGGCTTATAAAGGATCTAAAGATAGATCCTGTATTTAAAGTCATCTGGTACTGAGAGATGACATTGTATTCCTAGAGAGCCCAAATCGGCATCCCCAACCAGAGTTCAAGATCAGCCTTAATTTCAAGAGAAAGCCAAGGACCTCGTCTGCAGATGAGTGTGGTTTTCAGCCCCAGCCAGTGTCACTTTGAACTTTCCCTTTGCTTTTTTCTCTACTCTCCCTCCCCACCCACCTTTAGGCTCCTGATCTGGTGTGTTTGTTATGGAGTGAAAATAAAAGTCAAGCAGAGACCTTGTTCCCGGTGCCACCATTAGTACCACAAGCTCATGGCTAGTTAACCACATTATTTCCTGGCAGTTTGTGTCCTTCAGCCTTGCCTTCCAACCAGCTCCTCAGAATCACTGCATACCACCCTTTAGGTCGGGATACCTGCGCTGCTGCTGTTCCTGTGATTGTTTTACAATGAATAAATAATTGTTAAGTTCCATTTAAAAAGTAATCAGTTGTTATTTTTGTATTTGCTTAGAAAAAGCCTGAAGGAAATATACTAAACTTTTTGATGGCTTATTTTCCTCTTTGTGCTTGCTTATATTTTTTACATTTTCTGCAGTAAATGTGTACTTTTATCAGAGAAAAAAAAATTAAATGTCGCCACAAAACATTCAACCTCCACATCCCCACCTCAAAAAAGGAAATGATATTTAAAAGCTTCCTGGTCAGATTTCTATTAAAAGCATTGGCTGTGCCTTAGGTACAAAGAGGAGTTATTTCCTGCCTTGCTGATAAAATTTTTTCTACTATCTCAAGAGTCTTAAAAAAAAAAAAAAATTGTTTTGCCTAATTTAGCTTCAAGCTTCCCATGTGTAAAATTAGTTGGATTAGATGTTTCTACAGCCCCTTCCAGCCATAACATTCTGTCTCAAATTAAGTTCCAACCAGCAGAACATTGACAATACTAAGTATCTTGCCAGTAGAAAATGTCTTTAAACTTACTCTTTGCTGACACTTATACTTTCCTCTAATTTAGTGTCTATCAGCTGGGTCACAGCTTAAGTAAAACAAGCAATTTTAACCCCCAGCATTTGGCATTTTGTCATAAACCAGCCAGTTACTTTATGCTGGTCATTCATTGTGACTACAACATAGAATAGTCAAGCTGTCGTTCCAAATGGAAAACTTTTGACTTCAACTCAGAATTAAGCCTTATCCTGGAAAGTTGGTTTCTTCTCTATGTTTTCTCAATCTTCTACTCTATTCTTAAACACTAGTTTCACTCAGTTGGTATACAAGCCTTTGGGCTTTATGTTGTATGTTATTAACCACTTTTTAACATATTTCTCTTTTGGCATTCTGGAACATTGCTAAAATTAAGAAAAAAAAAAATTTGTTTCCTCTCTCTGCAGAGATGCCCAACCCAACATTGGATGAAACTTGCTGCAAGTCATACATTTTGCTATTGGCAAACAAGTCTGAATGTTGATTTGAAGTTTGGTAGTCTGTTACTATCCTTTGGCGACAAAGACTGTTTATTGGTATACAACAGTATGATTCATTTTTTATTTTGCGGATGAATACTAGAAAAAAAATAAAACAGAATGAAAACAGGTGTTTTTTATCCTAATGATGGACTAAGAGATACTGGTCAATCTCCAGCAATTTTTGTGACCCACATAAAATTATACAGGTCACAGTATAATTCTCTATTACTGTTTTTATACCAGTAAGTCTGAGATAAACTAAGAGCATGCTTATGAATTATGTGAACAGTTAGAATGCATTCTTTTTACAGAGGAGCAATTGCTTTTATTTGCTAACCCTGTTCTTGACTTGCCTCAAGTTCTACTCATTATTTTACATAAAATACCATTAGGCTGGGCATGGTGGCTCATGCCTGTAATCCCAGCACTTTGGGAGGCTGAGGCTGGCAAATTGCTTGAGGCCTGGAGTTCAAGACCAGCCTGGCCAAAATGGTGAATCCCCGTCTCTACTAAAAATACCAAAAATTAGTCGGATGTCATGGTGCGTGCCTGTAATTCTAGCTACTTGGGAGGGTGAGGCACAGGAATCACTTGAACCCAGGAGGCAGAGGTTGCATTGAGCTGAGATCAATACCTGCACTCCAGCCTGGGCGACAGAGTGAGACACTGTTTCAAAAAACAAAAAAAATTTTGATTTTTTTTTTTTTTTTTTTTTTGCGTGTGTGATGCCTAGTTGCTTAGAATCTAAGCAGTGCAATGCCTTAAGGAAATGAAAAATATTTTTTTTTTGAAGTGTGTTTTTTCTAAACTCCCAGATTGACATAATGGACTGTAGGATAGTTTCTCAGTTTCTATCCTTGTGCCTGTAGAGTGTACTTGGCACTTAGAAATTCCCAGTATCCAGAAAGATGATCTGATGAAATCAAATTGGATGGATCTTGGCAGATGGTGACACTCAATTACAGGCTTCACTTTCAGTCAAAAACACACTTGCAAGGAGATGCCTGGTTGTTTCACTAAATGTCACTTGTGTCTGTAATGTTTTAAAGCTTTTTCCCCCACAGGAAATTCGGGTTATAAAATTCTGAAAAATAATTCTAGGTGGGGAAAACATTTTAGGAAATAAGAGATGTGCTGCTTTTCCTCTCTCAGAGTGTTTTCTCAGCAGGACACTACCCTGCCTTTAAGATGGGGAAGGAGGGACGTGCGCCTTTGCTCTTCATGTTTGCAGCCCTGAAGGTAGGTGCTATCCCACTCGGATAATCGCCCAAGCAGCAGTGACCATAGTTTTCTCCTACGCAAGCCTTCAGGAGAAGGTAAACTCAATGTGAAATGGGGATGTGTTCTGGTTGCTGCTGCATCACCTCTTACCACAGTGCCTGGCACATTGCACACACAAATATGTAAAAATGAACATTTATTGAAAGCAGCAGTTAAAGCTGACCAGTTTCTGGTATCTTGTCATGTAAATTTTAGATGGTAAGGTGTAGATGTTACTTTTTTTGCTTTTTTTCCTCAACACTTTATTTCCCAAACATGCAGAAATGTTGAAAGACATGTATAGCGGGCATCTAGAATCTGTAGTAATATTATGTTACATTTGCTTTATCACTTGATAGATATTTTATCACTTGATAGATGTTACTTTTAATGAGACTTCAAGTTTGGTTTCTTTAAGCAAAATACTCTAAAATAACTGAACAACTTTAATCAATTTGTCTTAAGTTCTTTGGGGCAACTTGTGACATTTGCTTTGTAACTGGAATTGTAGCCCTCACTTTAAGCTGGTTTTAAACTTAGTAAATTTGTTATGCTGAATTTTAGTCTTATTTTGCCTGAAGGGGTATTTTTTATAATGGATTTATTTGAAGGTCCTTGATAAATTGTGCAGAATTTTCTCATGTTATTTTTGTACTTGCTAAATTATCTAATTTCTGTGGTGAGAATGTAATTTGGGGCCTATTTTGCTGATAACAAGCTTCCAGAATTATGTTCGCAGAGGGATGAAGAGGTATGATTTAGCAGATAAGCCACTAAATTAGCAGCTAAGACAAATTTTTTCCTGGACTGGGCCAATCAGTTTTGTCTTGGTGCCCTTTTCCCTGTAAAGTGGAAACTAGAATTTGGAATTTAGATATTAAGTAATGGGCAGCATTCATTCATGTGTGGATCTATTAAGAAAGACATTTCGTGAATCCAGGTAGCCTTCTCATAATTCTATAAACTGTATAACAAGCTGTGGAATAAAATCTGACTTTTGAAAATTGAAACACATCCAATGGTCTTACCACAAAGCCTGCTGTTTCCCAGAACTCTACCAATGCCACGGAATTTGTAAGCAGTTATCCTAATCCATCTGGACTCTGAAAATACGTCCTTTACAAGAGGGAGTGAATGCAAAGATGAGGGTGGGGAAACACTAATCATGAAAAGAATGAAAATCAGTGTTCAGTTTTAAGAGCAGTTTGTATTGAAGGAAGGGATTAAAGGAGTTATCCAGATCCAGGACAGCACGGCTTCCACCACTCCCCGAACCATCAGCATGCATGGAACACATAAAAGCCCTGCTCCTAACGGCAGTGAAACCTCAGATGGCCTCCATCAGGTCAGTACAACGGAATTGCAGGGCTGACTTAGAGATTGAAGGAGGACTCCATTTTAGTAAGCAGATACTTGTGACCTTTCTCAACCCAGGTTATGAATGCAGAATCATGTTTATCTCACAAAGGCACCTGGAGTTTTAACTTCATGTCATGTCTCAGTACTGGTTGCAAGGTATGACCAAAAGTGTTACCTGAATGGCACCTTTCTGAGTATTAATTTAGAACATGCCAGACTGACATACCTACTGTCTCCCCACTGTTACTACTTCCGTACCAGCTCTGTGTATTGCACCGATGTCTTTATGAGAAACCACTCTTAATTAAAATGAAATATATATATTAAAATATAAGTGATACTCCAAGTGGTTTTTAATGAAATAACTATACTTTGATTTTTGCTTCATAGTAGTTCTATTTAGGGGACTGTGTAACTCACTGTATTGGGAGAGAACAATTTCAGGCACTAGTTATCACTTGAAATAACTAATATCTTGGCTTCTTCAGGAAATGAGTAAGTGAGGATTCATTTTGCTCCTTGGTGTGGGAAGACTGCTTTTTACAAAATAAAGTTAAGCCTAAAGAGAGAGTACTTCCATAACTACTTTAGATCCAATGAGAAAAACAGATAAATTGAAAGTGTGAAGCCAGATAACAAATTTATTCCCAAAAAATTAAGGCAGAAAGGGGTATGGCTGTCTGCCTTCTCCTTAGTTACCAAACTCCCTGAATGGGTTTTTAAGCAAAGGTGCCTCTATTGTGGAGCTATTAAAAGTATTTTTAGGAAACTTTCTATGGGCCAACCCCTGCCTCTTCTAAAGTAGACTCAGCTTCCCTAAGTGGAGTACAGAAGCTGGTAAGACACCTTAGTTTTTCAAATTCCAAAAGTGAAATACTGTTATTGATCCCAGAGTAAGCAATAAAATTTTTACTCCCAAAAATTAATCCCAGAGTAAGCAATAAAATTCCAATCCTTATTTTTGGTTAACTTCTCAGCCCTTTTCTATCTTCTAGTCCATTTTGTACGTGTCTGTTACTCTGTTATCACATTTTTAAAAAATTAACTGTCTTACCAGGACCAGAAGTGGCAAGAATACCATTTGTGACCCTGTCAGGAAATGATGCATAATCACAGTAATTTTTGTTTAGCCTGGGTAGGGTTTTGCATATTATTTTCATATAAAAGCAAGTCTGATTGTCACAGAACTTATACTCCTGAAAGCTAAATTATAAAACCACACTGAAAAATAAATTCCAAAATTCTGAAAAATAATTGTTCCTGTCTTTCCCACTTTCCCACTGGTTGCTCTAACCCGATTGGCAAAGACTGATTTTTTTTTTTTTTTAAATGTAGGTATTGGGGCTGGGGGACACTTTTCCAGGGAGGTCTGGGCTGTCTTGATTCCAGCTTCATTTTCCCCCAGCTCACTTAACCTGAAGCTAAATAGGTAAAGTAGACAAAGTTCCAGCAAAAGTTTTTAAAGTAGTAGTGGTGGCTCAGCACTTTGGGAGACCCAGGCATGAGGATCACTTGAGACCAGGAGTTTGAGACCCCATTATA